ACATCCTATTCCTCCTGCGTCTCCCCCCCCCACCCCCCACACACACCTTATCCTAACACCACTAACAGGAATCCACGGGTGATTTGGGAGTTGGGTGACTAATGATCTCATTACTCTTAGGCAGTGAACTTCTGAAGGACATCCACAGGGACTTGTTTGGTGCCATGCGATCATGAGCAGAGTCTGGCATTGAGCAACACTTACAATGTGTTTTCTGGAGTTCCTCGGTGGACTGGAGTTCTCCTTATTGAATGAACAAAGAAGGAAGTAACACTAAGTAGCTGTTGCTTGTGGTTCCCTCTTCTGCACAGCTGGGAGCAACAGATGCCACTGTGTATACAAGTGTGGGGACACTTCTCCTCTCCATGCAATGCAGATGACTTACCAGGACCCCAGCTCCACCATACCTGACAAAAGCAACCTACAGAAAGAAAGGTTTCCTTTGACCTAAAGTGTCTGTATGGAAGTGAAGGCATAGCGGCAGGAATGAGACAGCTGGGGGCCTGGTGTCCACACTCAGCAAGTGGGCATCGATGAATGATGATACTCAGCAATCTTTCTCCTTTTTATTTTTCTCCCAGACCTTAACATATGGTATGGTCCCACCTACAATTACCACAGGTCTCCCACTGTGGTGCTTTGAATGAGAATAGCCCCCATAGGCTCATATATTTGAATGTTTGGTCCATGGTTGGTGAAACTGTTTGGGAAGGATTAGGAGGCATGGCCTTGTTGGAGGAGGTACATCACTAGGAGTAGGGTTTGGTCATGCCATTCCCAGTGGGCTTTCTCTTTCTCTGCCTCATGCTTGAGAATCAGATGTGAGCTCCCAGCTACTGCTCCAGTACTATGCCTGTCTGCCTGCCTGCTGCCATGCTTCCCACCGTGGTGACCATTGTCTTAGTTGGGATTATTCTTAACGTGATAAAACATCATGACCAAAAAAGCAAGTTGGAAGGAAAGGGTTTATTTGGCTTTCATATCACTGTTCATCATCAAAGGAAGTCAGTACAGGAACTCAAACAGTGCAGCAATCTGAAGGCAGGAGCTGATGCAGAGGCCTTGGAGGAGTACTGCTTACTGACTTGCTCAACCTGTTTTCTTTTAAAACCCAGAACCACCAGCCCAGGGATGGCTCCACTCACAATGGGCTGGGCTCTCCCCTATGAATCACTAATTAGGAAAATGCCTTACAGGCTTGCCTGCAACCCAATCTTGTGGAGGCATTTTCTTAATTGAGGTTTTCTCCTCTCAGATGACTTTAGCTCATGACAAGTTGACCTAAAACTATTCAGCACAATTATGGAACCCACGTTATATGCTTCCTTTGATAACATGCCTAGTCATTGTGTTTTTTCTTGGCGACAGAAAAGTAACTAAGACACCCACCTCTACGGAAGCTGATCCACAATGTGCTCTGAAGTCTGCCTCCTAGGTGAGTCTAGAGTCTATCAAGTTGAAAATCAATATTCACCACCACAACTGGACTCAAGGAATCTATCACTGGCCCCAGTTTCATTCAAAAGCAACAACTGTTAGAACCTAGTCTTAAAACCCTGTTAGTTCTATTGCTGTGAAGAGACATCATGACCACAGCAACTCTTTTAAAGGAAAAGCATTTAATTGGGGCTGGCCTACAATTCAGAGGTTTAGTCCATTATCATCATGGCAATAAGCATGGTGATAAGCAGGCAGACATGGTGCTGGAGAGGTAGCTGAGAATTCTACACTAAGATGGGCAGACAACAGAACTGCCTTGAGCTTCTAAAACCTCAAAGCTCACCCCTATTGACACACTTCTTCCAACAAGGCCACACCTCCAATAATGCCACTCGCTATGTGTCTATGGTGGCCATTTTCACTCAAACCACCACAAACCCCAAAACAATCTAATCTCTCAGTGGTTGCTGATCCCCATTGCTCACTCAAACAAAACAACAGGCTTCCCGACCACTGCACGCATCCTATGTTTTTCCTAAGCAAAAGTCTGTTCAATGATTTCAAAATAACCTTCAATTTTGTGCCATGGGCTGGGGGAAGGTCTCATAGATTTTGTTGTGGTGACAACGCAGTACTGGGGCATTAGATGAACCCCCAGAGCAAAATATTTCAGATTGTAATAATTATTTTAGCAGGTATAAATTACTTATATTTCCATGTGATTTTTCAGTTTAAGACTGACCATCAGACCTGAGTTCCTGAAATGCCATTTTAGGTTATTATATCATTTCATATGACTGCAAAGAAATACTGAGCTAGTACACACAATGTTATCCTAAAATTATAGTCTAGGAAATACTAAAAACATCTCAACCCTCACTTAGCCCCCTTGAAGATGCAGCGAGTTGAGACTAGCAAATTGAGATTCTAGCCGAAGATCATATGGAACACCAAATAGTATTGGAAATGGAAAAGAAGAAAAAACTGTACTGGGGGAGGGGTGCTAAATGAAAGGAAAAAAAAAATCTGTGAGATGTTTAGAACATGGTCCCTGATGGAGAGGCCTACCCATAGTAGACTCCATGCCATCTGTTAAGGGCTAATGCTTTGCCAAGCCAGTCTTTATACTTAGAGCCTCTGTTCCCTAAACAGTAGAGCCACAGTACACAAGAGTTTCCCCTCTGCACTTGCAGATGCCAAAAAGGATGAAGAAATCTGAAAACACCAGATTATCTAGGTATGCATGGCTTAAAAAAAAAAAATCTTTAGGGAGCCTTGTACCTTAGTGGGGAGCACAGCTAAGGAGTCCTGACATGGCCTTGTTTGACCAATGTCACCTTGAGGTGCCAGATGAATTAAGAATGAGGTCTTGTCCCTGTATCAACAGATAGGTCACTCAGGGCAGCAGTAAGTGTTGACAAGCGTGGCGAGTAGGAGAGGTTGGATATGGGTGGGGGAGGGATAGTTCTCGATAAATCTTGGTTGCTGCCAAGAGGAAACAGTCCTGGTGTTGCCATCCCTGGAGATGTCACCAGCTGCTGAGGGTGAAGCTGACATTAGAGCAAAGCCCTGGTGGACCCACTCTGGATTTGCGTGTGTGAGCTGGATGGCAGCCACCAACCAGTGTCAGCACTTCCCAGAACTGCTCTGAAGTGGACAGTGGAAGACATGAAATGATTGCTTCACAGCTGACATCAGCACACAGCCTCTGTCTCCCTCTTGAAGTGTGGGAGAAAAGCTCCAAGAACCACCAGAGCCCTGTCCAGTCTTTATTTGGTAAATAACCCAGGTTCATGATAGGAAGAGCAAGTGATGTGACAGAAAGAGGAGAAAAACCTTCCTTCCTTTTCCTGGTTCATGGGAAGAGGAACAGAAACAAGAAGGAGTACAGGGAATAAGCAAAAGGGCCACAAAGTGGGAGAAGCACCCAGAACACAGATTGGGAGTAGTCACACCACTGGGTTAGCAGACCCTCTGATGGAGAGGCCACTGAGGTATATCCCATGCCATCTTTCAAGGACTAATGCTTTGCCAAGCTAGTCTTTGTGCTTAGAGCTTCTGCTCACTGAGCCATAATACCCTGGAGCTT